CGGGCAGTTCTGTTTGTGACGATATATATATATATATATACCGGGCAGTTCTGTTTGTGACGATATATATATATATATATATACCGGGCAGTTCTGTTTGTGACGATATATATATATATATATAGTCAAACAGAACTGCCCGGTAAACCGTAGGCAGAGAGGGAGAAGAGGAAACATTCAAGGGAATCCAGTGGCGTAGCTCAGTTGGTAGTTCACACAAGTGCCATTCAGGTGGTCTTGGGTTCAATCCCGATTGGCCTCATGCACCTTCCTGGGCAAGCTTGGCACCTGCCACCTAGAGCGGCATTGAGCAGTGACTGCCAATATTTGTAGCGGGAGGGGATCGGAGAGGAGCCACAGCGAGTGGCCCATTGAAGATGCTCAGTCCTGATGCTACCGCCTGACCCTCGGGCGGTATCACCCACCTGCAGGTCGGGGTGCGTCCCCCACATGTTCCCTCGCGCGAGGCTTGAACATGGGCTGGCTGCTACGGGGTTCCCATAATGATAAAACAAAGAGCGGGGGAGTACCTGTGAGTACTGGTGGGAAAGAGGAGGGGGGGCACGGGCGGGGGGAGGGGTGGGTTGACCACTGGCGTTGGTGGGAGGAGCTTTGTTATGGGATGGGTGAGGGCTGGTGGATGGGAGGGGGGGGGGTGGGGGGGGTGTGGCAGTGGTGGTGGGGCACAGGGGGGAGGGGAACTGGTGGGGAGAGTTTACCCTGGACATCCCGCTGTAGGAGCAGAGTGGAGAGAGTCTACCCTTGTTTTTTAGGTCTGTTCTAGAGGCCAACCAATCGGGCGTTGGCAAGCATCTGTAGATGATTTGTCATGGGAGTCCGCTGTGTGCCGTGGGTTTCAATCAGGTGTAGTGGGAATGGAAGAAGTTTGAGAAGTCTTCTTCTTTGAGCGGGGACACTCTGGCCAAACCGTCGGTGATTATCATGTCCAAAGGGGGTATCGGATGTGGTTTGTTATGTACGCTTCCTTCACTGTGTGCTTCCATATTCTCAAAATGCGCTTGCAAGCCTCCAGGCACAGGGCACAGCAATTCAGACATCTCTGACGAATTGCTGGATTTGAACTGTCCGGGTAATGTCTTCTATTCTAGAAATAGTGTGTGCAGCAGCGGCACGCATCCTCAAATATTTCAATTCTAGCGAGGAATGGGGCTAGGTGGTCAGGTGTCGTCAGGCGTGGTCAGGGGCTCTGCAGCGGAGTGAAGAGGCTTCCTTTCTCCCAAACCCCGCTCTCACAAACTTAAACTTACCACCTGCTCAGTTAATCCCCTGGTAACCAGGGCAATCGATGCTGGCAGGCCGGCACTCTGCTCGACACTCTATGTTCAAACTCTGGATGATGGCTTCGGTTTCCGGCGGGTGCGGCTTCCCACCAATAGCCTGGAGCATCCAGGAAGCGTACTACCGTCTTAACCCGAAAACAAGGTACGTACCTTCTATACGAATACAAGGTACGGGGTACCTTGTAGAACGAATTTTAGGATGAAACTTTCCCAGGCAAGGGAAAAATAAAAATAAAAATGTACAGTAAATATTAGTAATAATATCACGAATAGTACACAATCGACTGCTACCATGACGGGCTGCGGCATGTTCTTTTTTTTTTTTTTTTTTTTTTTTTTGAAGAACACACTGACTACGCTGCGTGCTCACGATTCGGCATGCATTCCAACATTACGTGTGTTTGAGTGTGTGTGTGTGTGTTTGAGAGAGGGGGAGAGCACAGCACCCATGTGTGGAAGCAGGTGGGTGTGTGGACAATGCACGCCAGTGAGAGAGAGAGAGAGCATAGCGCCTGTGTGCATGGACAACGCACACCAGAGAGAGAGAGAGAGAGAGTTACGTGACAGTTACAAGATACGTACCTTGTATTCGAATACAAGGTATGCACCTTGTATTCGAGGGTACCTTTTATTCGAAAATTTTTACAGCGATTTCTTAGAACCCATTTTTCGGAGGTAACTTGAATACAAGGTACATATCTTGTTTTCGGGTTAAGACGATAGGGTGGTTGCTCGCTACACCTCTCGTAGTGGTGGGACTTTTTTTTTTTTTTTTTTTTTTTTTTTTTT